CAGGTAAACACAGCCATACCCTCTTCACCTGAACAGGTAAACACAGCCATACTCTCTTCACCTGAACAGGTAAACACAGCCATACCCTCCGTTCCTGATCAGGTAAACACAGCCATATCCTCCTCACCTGAACAGATAAACACAGCCATACCCTCCTCAACTGAACAGGTAAACACAGCCATACCCTCTTCGCCTGATCAGGTAAACACAGCCATACCCTCCTCACCTGGACAGGTAAACACAGCCATACCCTCTTCACCTGAACAGGTAAACACAGCCATACCCTCCTTACCTGATCAGGTAAACACAGCCATACCCTCCTCACCTGAACAGGTAAACACAACCATACCCTCTTCACCTGAACAGGTAAACACAGCCATACCCTCCTCACCTGAACAGGTAAACACAGCCATACCCTCCTCACCTGAACAGGTAAACACAGCCATACCCTCCTTACCTGATCAGGTAAACACAGCCATACCCTCTTCACCTGAACAGGTAAACACTAGGGATGTAATGGTACACAAAAATCACGGTTCGGTACGTACCTTGGTTTTGAAGTAATGGTTCGGTACATTTTTGGTACAGTGGAGGTAAAAGAAACAAAACGTAAATTGCTTTTTTCTTTATTAAACAGTGGTTCACCAAACAAAGTATGACTGTCTTTCTTAAATAAAAAGTCAATACAGATGCAATCTACTAATAAAAAGCTAAAAATTACTTAAAATAAATCTAAATATTCTCTCAAGTAAATAAAAATAAAATACATATCCATGAAGGTGCACATTTAGAAAATTAATCTGTACAGTATTCACATTAGCAGCTTTCAGCTTCATATTAGAACTGTGCAAGACAAATATTGTCTCAAAAATACAAAGCATGACAAAATAAATATCCCTTATGGTGCAGCATTTAAAAAAATATGTGTGCAGTACTTGTATTCACATTAACAACCCAGCTTCACATTAGGATACACGCGCATGCCTAGTGGTGCGGCTTCATCCGCCCTTTTCCGAATGTTACTCGGAGGAAACACACAAATACACAAAGGTTCTGCATTTGCCGCATTCGTTCGGTACATATGCATACCAAACTGAAAGACCCGTACCAAAAATTTTCAGTGCAAATACGTGTACTGTTACTCTCCTAGTAAACATCAGACCCTCATACGACCTGAAACAAACACAGGGTCAAAATCATACGTACAGGTTCAAAAACATACTTACTTGCATCAAATTTCTGATTTTTATTTTTTTATAATGGTTACATGGCTGTCTTGGGAATACAATGCTGCCGTTTTAACAGCTTCCTTTGTAGTCTGTATCTGAACTTTGACCTTGTGTAAGCGCACATCACATTAAATAATCGCTATATGAAGCTCCTGGTTTATGTCCCTGTACGGTGCTCTACGACCATTTAGTCTTCCTGCTATTTCTTCACCCCCACGTCCCCACCCTCAATCTCTCAGGATGATATTTGCAGAGTGCTCCCCAAGTACATGCCCCTGTGAAGAGCACTGCGACAATCAGCGCGTCCAGCGGCATGAATGGGTGCAGTGCCTGGAGCGCTTCCGCGCCGAGGGCAAGGGCTGGGGCATCCGCACCAAGGAGCCACTGCGGGCCGGCCAGTTCATCATCGAGTACCTGGGTGAGGTGGTCAGCGAGCAGGAGTTCAGGTGAGGGACTAGCTGAATGAGCAGGTGAGCTTAGCCATGCCCCTTGGTAAATCCATTAAGAACATCCTGGAATTTAATCAGCTGTGCTTGTCTTCTGGGCCACAGGAACCGCATGATAGAACAGTACTCGTCACATAGTGACCACTATTGCCTGAACCTGGACAGTGGTATGGTGATCGACAGCTACCGTATGGGCAATGAGGCCCGATTCATCAACCACAGCTGTGAGCCCAACTGTGAGATGCAGAAGTGGTAAGGAGGCGGGGCTGGGGAGGGCATGGCCTGGGAGGGCAGGGCCTGGGAGGGCGGGGCCTGGGACATGATAGGGATCCAGCTGCTTCCTGAGCATGGTCTCTGTCACACCAACAGGGCTCAAAGTTCAGGGCCAGTCTTGATTAATCAGCACCACCCATCTGGAATGCCTGCTACTCTAATTTTGTATGGGATGTACACTTTGGAAACATTTACATTTCTTCATTTAGCAGCTGGTTTTATCCAACGCAACATACATTTTGGAGAAAGCAGGGTCAGACAGTGTCATTGAAGCTCACAGACCCAGAGGTGAAATCACGCTGCCAGCCAAGGGCACGTTCCAAAACACGATTAGTTCCCTTTGACCTTGTTCACTGTTGAGGCTAAATGTCCCTATAGACTGATACAGAGTTATACTGAAGGATTTATATGAATTCATGGATTGCCAGAGAGGCTTCTAGAAATCCAGGGGCCTTATTTTTTTCATTGCATAGTGAAAGCACCCTTAGGTGCTTATGAGAGCGCCTCTTACTTGGCTGGTCTTCCCCCTACAGGTCGGTCAATGGGGTCTACCGGATCGGCCTCTTTGCCCTGAAGGATATGAGCAGCGGCACAGAGCTCACCTACGACTACAACTTCCACTCCTTCAACACGGACGATCAGGTGAAACTCCTGTGCAAGCCTCTGCCCTCCTTTCACCAGTCCGAGGGAACATCACACATTTCTTTAATTTCATTATAAGGCATTCCCTGTCTCCCATCCATCATCTAACCACTAGGACAGGGTCAGTCTTGGAAAATGTGGTTATTTATGAATGAAGGTTGCATCTATATAGCACTTTATAGAACCATTGGAGAGCCGCTTCAACAACCACCACCACCATGTAGCACCCACTTGATGATGCAACAGCAGCCATTCTGTGCCAATATGCTCACCACACAGGAGGCCAGATTTGAAAGGGCCACAGTGGACAGTTTTAGCCTGGATATTGGGGTACCACCACTACTCTTTCCAAAGATGCTCAAGGATCTTTTATGATCTCAGAGAGTCAAGGCCTTGGTTTTACATCTCACCCAAAGAATGGCACCATTTTTACAGCTGCGTCCCCTTCACTGCGACCCACAAAGACCACATGATGGGCTAACCTGTTGGTCACACCAACACCTCTTGCAGCAGCACCCCAGCTTTTCCTATTTGGTCTCCCATCCAAGTACAGGCCAGGCCCAAACCTGCTTAGTTTCAGTCGGATTACCTAGTCTGAACTGCAGGTGGTATGGCTACTGGCAATGTATGACGTTTAGTATGTATAGCTGTGAAGGTGGCCCCTGTACCTCATAGATCATGGTAAAATGTGGTTAAAATGCTTTGCACACAGATGTATTCTTAATGTTGTCTCCTGCCCTTTCTCTCTCCCCCCCCCCCCCAACTTCCTATGCAGCAAGTTTGCCGGTGTGGCTCGGAACAATGCCGGGGCATTATTGGGGGCAAGAGCCAGCGGGTCAGTGCCCTGCCAGGGAAGACAGGACGGGGGCTGACCCTCAAAGAGAAGAGGAAGCCGAAGCAGCAGCTAAAGAAGCGGGTGAGGGAGGGAGAGGCTCAGGCCGGCGTGGCATGCTGGGTTTGTACCACACTCACACTTCACCAGCTGCCCTTCCCCCTGTCAGACAAACTGCATACAGTAAGGCAGTTTGCGAGCCTCTGAGCTTTGACAGGACACACCATTTTAGGCTTAGAAGACAGATTCTATGAAATTCCATGCTATTTTTGGAATCTGGGATCAAAGGAAAGTCCGAATTTTCCAGTTGACGCATTGGCATTATATGGGCCCTAAAGCTGTGCTGTCTCCATAGCAACAGAGTGCCGTTGCCTTGCCAACCCAGTGAGCCAGCAGCTTGCTGCCATGGAGAAGTGGAACACCCCCGACTGAGCTGTCTGTAATGCTGCAGCTTCTCTCCGTGTAGCCTGAGCGGCACTGTACCAGGGGTCTGAAGCATAAAAGCCTTTTTGTCACTTTGTCACATGACCTCTGTATAAATGTTTATATATGTCACCAGCTGGTCTTGGGATCTGGGCCTATAAGTGAATGATCAGATGCCGCCAAAAGAATGACCTAAGGGATACTCAGTTCTATTTCAATTCAATTTTATTTGTATAGCGCATTTTCACAACATTATCCCTGCCCAAAGCCCCCCCTGAGCAAGCCAGAGGCAACAGTGGCAAGGAAAAACTCCCCTGAAGGAAGAAACCTTGGGAGGAACCAGACTCAAAGACTCAAACACCACTGTATGAATCGTAAACTGTTTTACTATCGACTAAGGGCATTTTCTTAGCAGTGAAATACATCACCTTGTGTCAGAATAAGGATACTCATGAGCTGAGTGATCTGCAATTGGTCAATTGCAAATTAAACCCACACTAAGAGACAGAGGCTCATTATAATTATTATCCCTATTTTATGCCTAATTATTTTGAATTAAATTATGATTTGATGCTTAAACTCTCTCTTTGGTTGACAGGAGGAAGAGGCCAGCGAGAGTGGGAAGTTCAGCTCTCACGTGCTCATGAAGCCGATGTCTAACAGGGAGAGGTACGGCATCACTTAAAGAGTACACAACATACTCATAAAACAAGTAACAAACGGGACAATTACAGTGTCACTTTGACAATACACAACCTGCTCATATACCATTACCAACAGGGAGAGGTACAGCATCACTTTAAGAGTACACAACCTGCTCATAATAACAGAAAGAAAAAGAGGTACAGCACCAGCTTAACCAGAGTGCCTCTTTCACCGGCTCATTATTTGTAAGAGAGAGGTACAGAAAGAGGCACAGGCTAAGCTGGGGAGATACAGTATGTGGCTCATCTCTAAGAGGTGATATTGTGATTGGAGATCACTAAGAACAGACAGCCTGATAACAGGGCAGTGAAAATACTGGACAGTGTTGGTCTCTGAATGTTAGGTTGGCTGATAATATGTACTGATCCTGCTTTAACTAATCTCACAGGATCAGAGATAAGTTATCACAATGAAAAAAAGAACATATATATCAGACTGCTTATTCTTCTGCCCCCAAGTCCTTACTTTAGAGGCAGTCACCAGGTTACGAACAAGATCCGTTCCCTAAGTTTGTCTATAATTTGGTAAGTCGGAAAAATAATACTACAGTACATAATAGTAGTAATAATAATAATAATACAATAATAATAAAAGTTACTGCTTAAAGTACTGTGCTGTACTGTATGTACTATCCATTGTATTTAACCCGAAATTTTTATATAATAAGCTTTATGGCAGTTCCTTCGTAAGTATGAGTTGTCCATAGGGCTGATGCAGTGAAGGAATTTCTCCTGCGAGGATTTAGGGTGGCTCATTATTGCTATATGCGGTATTATTGCCTTTTTTGTTATTGTTTTGCAAATTCATTTATCTTGATTTTTATGTTTTATAAGTACTTAATTGTTAAGCTATTATTTGGTAATTGGTTGATTTGTAAATATGAGTGTTCTAGGGCCTGTCTGCAGTTCCAGTTGGCCATAAATATAAAAAAATTAAAAAAACATTGTTATTTCGAAATAATAGAGAAGTCTGAAAATGATTAAATAAAAAAAATTAAAGTTCCAATCATTCTTAAGTCTATTAAATGTCATTAAAATAAATATTTATAATATTTCAACATGGACACCAGTCGAATTGTGCATTTCTAGTTTGTTTACATGAATAGCAAAGCACCCACCACTCAAATTATGTTGACATCGGCGTTGGTACCTCCGTAAGGACCCAATGATTGATATTTGTCATAATCCTTTACTCCTAAAACAAGCTAAATTGGGTATACCTAGAAAAAACTACTCCTGCTTATTCCTGGTCAGTGAAGTCATCCGTGTTTACATGGATTTCAATATGTAAACATCATATACACATGATTCACACCTTTCAAAGCCAGCCAGACTGAAGTGATCTCTCCTAGAATCTTATAGAATTCTACCGACGGTTATATCTTTGAAGTCACCATGCCAGGGTAAGCAAAATATTTCTAATGCCAAAAACACATAATAATTTTGGGCAGCGACCTTACAGTTTAAGTATTTTTTTTATCCATATAAGTAAAAGTATGATTCTGTGGTTTGTGAACTTTGCGGTTGTGGTGGTTATTTGACATCCCATGCACTTGGCTTATCAGTATCATGGTATTGCAATATTGCGGTTATCATGAGAGCCCTAGTTGTCCATAAGTCGGGAATTCTTAACACAGAGACTGCTGTATTACCTTTTTTTAACTCACATCAAGAATCACGTCTCTTTAATAATGGACATTTTGATGCACATATCCATTTTGCCATGGTTGTTTTTTTCTGGATTGTTGTACATAAACAGAGATAGTAGAGATAAGCAACCCCACCCAGCACATTCTTTTCTGATTTAATTCCCCGTAAAACATTTTGGGTTTGTTTGACCTGCTCCTCTCTGTTCCACAATTACACTGTCTGAATCACCCTTCTCTTTCCATTTACTGATACTGTGCTGATGTTTAGCTGTCTGGCTCCACACCAATGCCCATATACCAATGCCAGCATCGAGGAACCCACTACCCAGCTGACCAGCCATCACCTCAGGGACATGATGAGTGCTTTAATACTGTTTTCATCTTGACAGGAATTTTGTGCTGAAGCACGGGGTGTTTCTTGTGCGGAACTGGGAGCGGGTTCGAGAGAAACAGGAGATGTTGAAGAGGGAGGCAGAAGGTGACAGGGAAGGCTGTGGCCTGTCACTGTACTCCCGCTGGGGAGGGGTCATCCGGGATGATGGAAACATCAAGTCAGGTGTGTATCTCCACTGCATGGCAGTGTCCGTGTTTTTATGTGCTTCTGCCTGTTGTGTGTGTTTCCCCAGTGTGGTAAAACCTGAAACCTTCTTACTTTTGAGGACATTTTTCAGGTCCCCATTTGGATAACCTCAGTATTATAAAAATATGTGAATGCAATCAAAAAAGTAAAAAGTCTTGTTTTTTGTTTGGTTACTTTTGGTTAACATTAGGGCTGGGTAGGGTTAAAGGGTGTCATAATTGGGGTTTTTCCCATATAAATGAATGAAAAGTCCCCATTTAGATAGGTACGCAAACATGCATCGTGGGGACCAAATATCCCCACAATGTGATAAAAAAAACCTGTTATTTTGATGTTGTGGGGACCATGTTTCCAGTCCCCACAAGAGGAAACTCAATTTTATAAAAATCTGTGACTGTAATCAAAAAATTAAAAATGTCTTGTTTTTTGTTTGGTTACTTTTGGTTAACATTAGGGCTGGGTAGGGTTAAAGGGTGTCATAATTGGGGTTTTTCCCATATAAATGAATGAAAAGTCCCCATTTAGATAGGTACGCAAACATGCATCGTGGGGACCAAATATCCCCACAATGTGATAAAAAAAACCTGTTATTTTGATGTTGTGGGCTATGGAGTCTGTCCCCGCAAGGGGAAACTCAATCTTATAAAAATCTGTGACTGTAATCAAAAAATTAAAAATGCCAAAAGTCTTTTGTTTGGTTACTGATGGTAAAGGTTATGGCTAGGTAGAGGCTAAGATTGTCATTGTTGGTATTTTCTCATAGAAATTAATGGACAGTCCCCTCAAAGATATGAATACAAACGTGTGTGTTTATATGCTGGAATATATGTGAGCTACGATTGAAGAGCAAGATTCCAAAACTCATTCAGTTCATGGGATATGCTATTCTGACTGAGTTTTGGTTCCCAACAGGGCCACTGATGGGGGGGGAAACCAGGTCAGTGGTCCCCAGTCCCTGGGTGAAGGGGGACCCCAAAAGGGCCCTCTAACATTTAAATTATCTGATGGAATAATTGTCAAAAATCCATTACTTGTGAATCACACAAAAGATAATTTTTTATATTCCTGATTTTCCCTGATATATTCTAACTTGGAAATCATGCGCTGGGGAAAAGAGATAAGTAGCAGAGTGAAAGTTGAGCAGATGGAACAATTTTTTTTACCTCAATAACATTTAGCACATCAGTGAATACCATTTTTCTTATGTCTCCATATTTCTGCATTGGAAAATTCAATATATAACCAGTTGAGATGTTCCAGGAGCTTTGGTGTGAAAGCAGCCACTATTCGACCATCACCCTAGTCTGGAGTAGGGACTAAAAAAGGGTTCTGGAACAGCCTCAGAGGAACTACAATCAGGGGGGTATTCTCCGTACATGGATTACTCGTTTAGTCAGATAATATTGTTGACGATTTGGCATGATCCTGGATCTATCAGTTTTTCAAAACTCTTGCTGGATGTGTTGTTATAGCAAAAAAAAGGATTAGCTCACACACATAATCATTGTCCGTGCTTGGGAATCCATTCAGTCATGGCCTCACATTTCCAAAGTCCCCATTGTTTGTGTAATGTATTATGTGTTATGAACTATGCTTATCTGTGCACTATATAATGGCTCAACTTAGCAACTTGCAGTGCCTCAACTTTTTGCTAAATGAGATGTGTTTGCTGTGCTCATTTTCCCCAAGTGACACCTAGCAAAAAACACAGATGAATGCATATTACGATAGCATCACGTGTCGTGGTCCAAATGCGAGTGGACTGTTGATTTGGCAATTTCTTGTGGAAAAGTTACAGTTTGAAAAAATTTCAAGGCCATCCATCCATCCATCCATCATCTGCCGCTTGTTCGGGGTTCGGGTCGCGGGGGTAGCAGCTTCAGTAGAGGCACCCAGACCTCCCTCTCCCCAGCTAACCCCACCAGCTCCTCGGGGGGGACACCGAGGCGTTCCCAGGCCAACCGAGAGATATAATCCCTCCAGCAAGTCCTGGGCCTGCCTCGGGGCCTCCTCCCTGTAGGACAGGCACGGAAAACCTCTC